TTGTACCTAGGCGCGCTGTATTACTGCCGCGCTCTACTACTTTCATATTGATGGTGCCTGCTATCTAGGTCTCTTTCACGCTGGCGGCATGCAGATCTTTGTCAACACATCGCGATTCAAGTGAAGCTGGCTAACTAGCCAGTCCTTGCGCATGCGGAGGCCAAGATCCAAGACGAGGAGAGAATTGGAAGTAGTCGAACTCATGGGAGAAGCCCGCGTTTGTTCGACGGCATCGGCGTACGGTCACAATGCTCAGTAGCCGCGCACCACCGCGCCCGGAAGTTGTTGTATGTCGTGTTCTGCTCTGCTCTGCGCCCTGTTCACGAGCGCTCAATCTCTGCTTCTGTCATGTTCGCTCACACAGTAAAATTTATTACTATTGTGAGACCCCGTGCAGACTAGCGAATGGAAACAGGCGTGGTTCATATTGACGATTGATCCGCCATCACGGCCTTCGGGCAAGTTATGACGCCGCAGAGTGGTTTGCGCACAGGCGCATCAACCACCACGCCGTTAAAACCTCGACCTCCGCCATCGCAGGAACTCGTCTTGGACGCTCATCGCACCTACGAACTCCAGGTGAGTCGAGTCGAGCAGTGTTGGAAGAGTCACTTGAATAACGTTCTGACCTCGCCATACGCACCTCTCGCAGCTATGTCGTGCACCCGTCGAGCCCTACTACCTCACACGCATTCAGATATGGATACATCGTAAGCCCTCTCTGGTTTTTATTCTTCACCCGTAACTGATCTGAACTCAAAGACCGCGACCGGAGAGATACGCTACCATTATGGATGTTAACCGCGACGTGCTCTTGGAAATTTTTGAGTGGCTCGCCGCAATCGTGGGTGATCGCCAGGCCATCCTAACCGAAACGCACGTCTGTCACGGTTGGCGTTGCATCGTTCTTGGGGAGGCAGCTCTGTGGCGCTCTACAGACGGCGAGCTGGACTCTTGCTTCCCGGTCGGCACGGCCCGCGACAAGGCTCACCCTTGCCGATTGCGTACCAAGCTGTGCGATATCCACAACGGCAACGCCATTATACCCGAATGGGTTCGCTCGTCTGAAATCTTCACGGTGCCAGGCAATGGGTTACCATGGTACACAGCGCTCACGCAGTCCAGCCGGCCTTGGACTGCTCTTTTAGAGCTACACTTCGAAGAGTTCATGAAGCAGAAGAACGAGGCCGGCCAGCCGATCGTCTACACGCTCAGCGCCCACACCTTCCCGAACTTGACGCACCTTTCCTGGAAGGGGTCGTTGCCGCATGGTCTACCTTGTCTGTCAAGCGTGCAAGTCACTTTTGGCTACGTTGACGACTTCCGTGAGGCCATGCGCAGGTTGCCGCCCACGCTCAGAATGCTCGACGTCGATCTCGAGTTCGACGCGGAGAACGGCACGTATTCGTTGCAAGAGCTGCTGCAACCTCTCTCCGGTAGCGGTTTGGTCGAACTCCACGTCGGGACTTGCGCTCTAAAGTCACCTCGCAACCTGGAAGGAGCGCCACCCGTCGTCTTGAACGAGCTCCAGAAACTCAAGATGGATAACGCCTTCATTCTCCACGCCGAATCCCTCCGAACCGCCAAACTTCGCGTTGCGGACGTCCGCACTCTGACCCGTGCGATACCAAAGAGCGCGCTCCTGGAAAGTCTGGACGTCATGTTCACTACAGTGGTCAGCGACGTGCCCGTACCCGAAGATGGATACACCGTGAATCGCGGCAACAACCCATTCCCGCGTCTCTTGGCGCTCAAGTGCCAGTCTGGCTTCGATGGGAATCTCTCCCAGCTCTCTCAGATCATAGCTGTCTCACAGCTCATCAGCACGACGCTCACCTTCCCCCTCACACACGTGGAGTTTGACGCCACGAGCCCCATGAACTGGGCGGACTATGAGGAGCGCGGGATTCTCTCGCCTTGGGGACCTTGCCTCTACCGACCAGCGCTGATTCCGGCGAACAACAAGACCTGGACCTCCTTCCTTGACCATGATGCGATGTCCGAGCGGGATACCCTGGTCATAACCGCGCGCGAAGGCCCTGGTAGCGAAGATCCCAAGATCATCTTCTCTGTCGTCGGCCGACATGAGCTTCAGAGCGACGGGTACGCCGGAGCCGAGCTTGCATGCGGTATGCACCTTCACGTGGGGAAAGTCAAATCCGACATTGCGCCCAAGGTCCGTGACATCGTGTCGCCACTCAGTGCGGTGCACGCGATGTCTCTCGTCGCAGACAGCAAGATAAGGAACGTTCACCTCCGCTGCCTCAAGAGCTTGAAGAAGAAGAAGTTGAAGACTTCGACGCTGCCCGATTTGCCACTCGACCCCACAGCTCTCGGCCGCGAAGAGCGCGACGTCGCGCAGCTATGCAGCGATCTGCGGCGCATGCTCAACGTCGAATACTTCATGGCCGACATCGATAACCTTGGCGACAGCGAGCATGAGGAGATTGGGTTCCTCAAGGCGCTTCTGAAGAGCAACACCGAGGAGCGCGACACCGGCGTCGACGTGACAATGCCGAAGCTCGCTTGCATCGCTGTGCGAGTCACCGCATCACACCTCTCCGGCCAGTTCTGGAACGATCTTCTGTCACTGGCCCGTGTGCGTAGCGATCTGGCTGGCGCGGGCAGATGCAAAGGGATGCGCATTACGATCTCCTCGCATTGGGTTTCGAAGGTTGGAAATGTGACATTCGGGAATGACCGCTACTTAGCTGATCTGGGCTCTGCCGCGAACGTTGTCATTGAGCACATCTAGACCATGTATTGTCGTCGGTCTTACTGATCTCTCAGTCGCCTCTCGGCGCCGTCTACCCGTCCCGATATTGATACCAATTCATACCTATACTCTCACCTCGCGCATATGTCCGTCTTGTACGTTTTCTATGTCACGTCTCACGCCATGTTGTCTATGCTATGTATCATGTTCTGCAATATGCATTGTCGCACCACAGGAGGCATCGGCGCGAAGTCGTG